TGATAAAATAATGATAATGATGATAATAATAATACCACCTATTATCAAATCGCAAGTTCAGATATAAGTGTCATAATATATCACTGATTATTTGAGTAGTACTTTAATGCTCAAAAAAGGTAACTTTTTGATAGGGTCCCACTCTGTTACCCAGGCTGGAGTGCAGTGGTGCGATTTCAGCTCACTGCAACCTCTACCTCTGGAGCTCAAGCAATCAAAAAAGGTAACATTGTTCAAGCGATCGAAAAAGGTAACATTTTATCAAATATTTTATGGTGACTGCCTCTTTTGTAAAACTAATCATTCAAAGTGAAATCCACATCTAACTTAAAATGTGTTTATCATTTGTATCCACCCACTGGAATGTAAGCCCCTTGAAGGAAAGGATGATCTTGTTCATTTTGCTTACCAGTGTACTGTGGGGATTTGGTGCATAATAGAAACTCAACAAATACTAAATACATGAATGAGTGACTGGTCAACGTATCAGGGCTTTGGCAGCTGTCTACCTCCTCATAATCTTCTCCTTTCCCTCTTGCTAAATACCAGTAGATCGCCTACTTTTAAAAAAATATGGAGCCAACTTTTCTTTCTAATTCTTTCTCTCTGCCAGGTTTTCTCTACAAACCAGCATCATCCAATAGAAATATACTCTGAGCCACATATATAATTTTAAAAATAACTAGTGTCCATTTAAGAAGTAAACATAAACAAAATTAATTGTAATAAATCCTATTTAATCTAAGCCTATCCAAGCTACTATCATTTGAACATGTAATTATACAAAAATTATTGATGAGACAGCGACATTATTTTTTGTACTCAGACTTCAAAATCCAGTGTATGTTTTACACATATCTTGTTTTACATTAATCACATTTTAAGAGCTCAATATTCCACATAGCCAGCAGCTACATATTGACAGCACCTAGATTAAACAGGTGAGCCCAATGTAGTCACGAGGGGGCCTTACAAGGAGGATGGAGGGTCAACATTAGTAGTAGGAGATACGATGGTGGGAACAGAAGTTAGAAGGATATTAGAAGAAACCCCGAGCCAAGGAACACCTGCAGTATCCAGAAGCTGAAAATGGCAGTGAAACGATTATCCTCTGAAATCTCCAGAAGGAACCAGCCCTGTCGATATCCTGATTTTAGCACTTCTGACCTCCGGAAGAGTAAGGCAAGTGTGTGTTATTTTAAGTCACTAGGTTTGGGACAATTTGTTACAATAGCAGTAGAAAACTAACGCACAGTCTTCATTTGGGTGGAACAAGGTCATTTTTGACATCGAGGTACATGTTAGAGTCTCAGTGCATCCTGAGTTACCGCTTCACCACATAAGAGGCAGTCAATATAAAGCCGCTGAGTGAATGTTGAATAGAACAGAATACAAACATTAAAAATGATGTTTACAAAGCCATCATGATAAAACAGAAGAAATGTTATTAAAAAACAATTTGTATTACAGTGCAATCACGACTGTATTAAATGGGCAAACATCAAATTATGTATATAAAAATTCCAGAAAAAAAACTATTAATAGTCATCATTTCTGCATGCTGGAACTATAGATGACTTTTTCCCTCTCCCTTTTACATTTTTGCATTGTTTCAATTTTCTATAAAGAATGGTATCATTTTCATAAAAGGAGAAAGCACATTAATTTCATTTAAAAAGCAGACAGGACTATAATATAAAATATAAAAGGCAGTGAAAAGAATGTTATTATATTCAGTTCCTTCATTTATGCATCAACGATTCTAATGTAACTAATAATTCAAAATCTTCAAAGTCATACATCTTTGTATCACAAACTGCATGGTCATCATAGATCTGTTTTGATTTTGCAAACAGTGGTCAGCTTTACTAATACTAAAGTTATGACTATCACCTTCCAAAAATCAGCTGCTGACTGGGGGCTGGGAGCTGCATGACCCCAGCAGCGTGTCAGAGAGGTAATGATTTAAGCAGATGCTGACAATTGAATCCGCAGGAAGGAAAAAAGTCAAGAGGAGAAAAGCTGGGAGACCTGCTGAATGAATCTGCTTTACTTACATGTGAAAAGAAGAAAGAGTTATTCTTAGAACTATGGCTCTTTGACCTTGGATAAGTCATTCCACTCCTCTGAGCCTCACTCAGTCTCACCCTTTGTGTTAGGAGAGTATAGAACTAAATTACCTTTAAGATTCCATATAGCTCTAATATTCTATAAACACATGTGTATGTATACACATGTATACACTCCACACATTTGGACATACAGGCTCTGAGACATAAGACAATGAGACTAATACTCAAAACAATTTTCCACTGTTTTGCAATCATATGGGGGTTGCCTTGAACCAGCTTTAACTAGGTCCTTCAAACTGTGCAATTTGCCGCTAATACCGTTACCATCAGATATTTCGTAGTGTCTTCTTTTTTCACCATGTCAGAAAATAAACTGCACAGTTTGAAAAGGCTTAGATATGTGAGGGGTTACTGCAGTAGCAGCAGCCTCAGGTCTGCCTAGTCCCTGAGGCTTTCTAGCTTGTCACTCAGCAGCTCTTTGAAGAATGCATGTATAACTTTGAGAAAGTTGCCTACTTTCTTCCATGAAAATCAAGCATATTAACAGAACTTAATAACGGATTTCCAGTTCAATGCAATGCCTGATAATACCTCAGTTGCTGATATCAAATGAAGATGCCATTTCTGGAATGTGTCTTATATGAAATTTCACTGGAAGGCTGAAATGTCTTAGGATATTTATTATGAACGTTCTTCCAGGAAATATTGGCAGTATTCCTATTTTTCAAAGGAAACATAAATGATTTCATCCAAATCTTAAGGTACTTACAAGTCTTGCAGGGTGGAATAAATCATGTGCATATTGAACTCTAATGCAAAACAGAAAGATTAATGCCAGAGAAAGGTAGGGGTGTATGCCTGCAGATAGAGTTTCAGAAGAGCAAGAGATTATACCCAGCTGCTGAGGCAGGAAGATAGTCTCAAGAAGCTTATGGAGTACACAGTATCAAAGGTCTTTGGCTCCTGAATTCAAGAACTAATATGGGAAGGGATGATTTCTTTTTCTAGACTGAGCCTCACTCTGTCACCCAGGCTGGCACAGTCATGCTCACTGCAGCCTTGACTTCCTGGGCTCAAGCAATCCTCCCATTTCAGCCTCCCAAGTAGTTTGGACTATAGTCATGCACCACTATGCCCCATTCACGTTTTCTATTTTTTGTAGTGATGATGTTTTGCCATGTTGCCCAGTCTGGTCTTGAATTTCTGGGCTCAAGCAGTCTGTCTGCCTCAGCCTCCCAAAGTACTGGGATTACAGACATGAGCCACCATACCTGACCAGGAGGCATTTTTGTTGGAGGAACTAGAACGAGCAATGTCTTTGTGGCATGGAGAATTTGGGGTAGGTACAGAGATGAACAAAGCATGAAATGTGAAAGCAATGCCAACTCCAGATTGGGGAGCCCAGGGAATAAAGGTGAAATGACACATAAGATTGAGAGTGCCAAGGCCTTGAGTGCCCAAAGAAGGAGAAGGAGAATGGCACTTTATTCTATAGACAGTTGCCAGCCATCTAGGACATTTAAGCAATTGTTTGATTTGCATTTATTCACCCCCCCCCCCATTATAAGGGGCACAGGTAATTTTAACTCTGTAGTTTAAAAGGCATTATAATTTCTCATTCAACAAGTGAACATAATTTTGAGCAATTTCCATGTGTCATATAATGAATAATTCTAATTACACATTTGAAATTCTACAAGAGATTTCCTTTATTGCTTTAGAATTTCTAGCTCTATTTGGTGTTGGAAGAGTGGTTCCATTCAGATGTTAGAGTCAGAGGTTCACATGCAGCTGGGCATGGTGGCTCATGCCTGTAATCCCAGTACTTTGGGAGGCCAAGGCCAGAGAATCACTTGTGATCAGGAGTTCAAGATCAGCCTGGCCAACATGGCAAAACCCTGTCTCTACTAAAAATATAAACATGAGCTGGGTGTGGTGGTGCTTGCCTGTAGTCCCAGTTGCTCAGGAGGCTGAGGCGTGAAAATCGCTTGAACCCAGAAGGCAGAGGTTGCAGTGAGCTGAGAGCACACCACTGCACTCCAGCCTGGGGGACAGAGTGAGACTCTGTCTCCAAAAAAAAAAAAAAGCTGTATATGCATGGGGCCCAGGAAACCCAACCTTCTGGAGGAGAGAGGTAACTTGGTCACACAGACACACAGACTGTATCTACTGATCTCCAGGCTTCCTGGTTTCAGCCTTTTAGACCCCAGGGCTGAGTCATGGCTCCTTGTGCATAGTCCCTTGTTTTCCCACCTGTTTACTCCTCGGCAGTTGCACTAAACCAGTGTACATGAAGACATAACACTGATTCAGCATGGTGCTCTTATTGTGTGTCTGAGTGTGTGTATACGTGTGTCTGTGCATTTATATAAAAATGTACAAAGATACACACATTATGCAAAATGGCAACAGCACATACCATTATTTTATTTTTCATAGCTGTCATTTTGTAGTGAAAGCCATATTTTTTTCCAAACAGTTTGTGAGCATTTTGAGAAGAGGCCCACCATATTCTATCATGCACACAGCCAATACTCAATTAGCGTTCATTGAGCAATTGACTTAACCTAAGTCTTTAGCCTCCCAGAAACGTAGTATTTCCTCCTAGGACAAGGAGAACAGCTGGTTGACATACTTGGTATGAAAGGACCCAAAAGTATGGTTCCCATTTTCCTTTGGATCTCAGAAAGACAAGATAGTTTATGTCTTTAAAAGCCCCAGAGATAAGGTAATTGGACCCATCATCTGAAAGCAATATATCAATATGTATGTGTAAGCATGGGTGACTGCATACATCTGTGTGAAATCAGAAAGCTTGAAACTGAAAAATGGAGAAATCATGTGCTAAACATTAAATCCAGGTGGTGTTGGCAAATGGATACAGTTCATCAACTAGTGTGATTCTCATGTGTTAAACTCAACACTTACCTCAATAAAGAAGATGCTGGCTGCTGATGTTGGATGGTGATACATATAGACTGTCACAAGGATGGCTGTGGCTATAATGAGGACCAGGATGAGAATTCCAACAATGAGGCCAGCGTGGAGGCTTCCCCCTTTCTTCTCAGCTGCACTGTCATCTGTAGAAGCTGAAAGAACATCCCAGCTGTCAGGACCTTCATGAATTTACCCTTAAGTTTGCATTTTCATCTGAGGAGATATTTGTGCTTTTAATAAAGTACAACAGGGATTTTACTTGCTGTACAACTTTTCTACAACACCAGTTTTACAGGTGAGGTGCTCTTCATATGGGCAATGAAAAATCTGTAGGATTCATGAGTAAAAAACATGCATTTTTCACTGTGTTTTATTTTTATTTTTGCTTTTGTTGCCCAGGCTGGAATGCAATGGCACGATCTTGGCTCACTGCAAACTCCACCTCCCATGTTCAAGTGATTCTCCTGCCTTAGCCTCCCGAGTAGCTGGGATTAAAGGCGTGAGTCACCACACCCACCTAATTTTGTATTTTTAGTAGAGATGGGGTTTCACCATGTTGGTCAGGCTGGTCTTAAACTCCTGACATCAGGTGATCCACCCACCTTGGCCTTCCAAAGTGCTGAGATTACAGGCGTGAGCCACTGTGCCTGGCCTGTGTTTTCAAATTTCTAGTTGGATATGCAAAATTAATAGCTTTTATCCTTAAAGTACTCTGGGAAACCTCAAACTGTAATTAACTACACACTAAATTTAAGTTTGATTTTTCTCATTAAACTGACAAAGTTACCTATGGAAAAACTGATTAATTTTGAAAGCTTCTTTCATTTTCTATAGGAAATTTTAAATTGAAGAGTATCAGACATCTCTTAGTAGGCTACACAGGCATTTTCAGAAGTCTATACGTGAGCTCCAAGCATAATTTGTGAAAAATCTGTTTTAAAGAGAAATGCTCTTTAAAAGTGTAACACATGGATGCTAAATGACCCTGAAATAGTTCTGATCACTATCTAAAGGGAACACCTCAGCAGAGGAAAATATTCCACTACACCACAGACCAATATCATTTCCTGTAATTTTTACTGAGATACTTTCCACTGTAATACACATTTTCAAAGGGAGGAATTTAATTCCTAAAGTAATAACTATCCTAACCAAAGCCAACCAGCCAAATACAACTAATCTCAAAAGTCTTCTTTTGTTCTAAATTTCTGTAATCATTGATGATTATTCGGGCATTTAGAGATCTTCCTCAATTATATGTGGCAGGTAACTGTATCTTAAATGCACCATATGACTGGTATCCTGAATCATGAGATAATTCTTTAAGATGTACAGAAGTTTCATAACAGTGACTCTCAATTTCTTCCCCTTTCTTTCTTTCCTTCCTTCCTTCCTCTCTCTTTTCTTTTCTTTTTTTCCCTTCCTTCCCCCTCCCCTCCCCTCTCCTCCCCTCTTCTCTCCTCTCCTTTCTTTCTTTCCTCCTTTCTTTCTTTTTTTCCCTCTCAGACAAAGTCTCACTCCATTGCCAAGGCTAGAGTGCAGTGGTGCGATCTCAGCTCACTGTAACCTCTACCTCCCAGGTTCAAGCAATTCTCCTGCCTCGGCCTCCTGAGTAGCTGGGATTACAGGCATGTGCCACCTTGCCCAGCTAATTTTTGTACTTTTAATAGAGATGCGGTTACACCATGTTAGCCAGGCTTGTCTTGAATGCCTGACCTCAAGTGATTCACCCCTCCCCGACCTCCCAAAGTGCTAGGATTACAGGCGTGAGCCACTGGGTCTGGCTCCAATACTTTCATGCCCAATTTATCTCTTTGTTATTTTTATCCTTTGCCTCTATGTTGTAAACATTTTTTTTTTGTCTATTAAACTTCATTTAATAAGCACTGATTTCTTTATTTCAATTTTTTAAAAAGGAAAAACAAACAAACATGGATGTCTATCACAATGTGTGGTCTTCATGAACTGACAGAATTCCAGATAAAGTGGAGAAACATGACTTCCTAATTCTTTCCACCTCTCCTCCACATTTTTATTGCTGTTGTTTACTCTTTGCTTGAGAACTGTTGTTATTGTTCAGTTGATCCTTCTCCAAATCTAGTGAGGCTCAAAATTCTAAAGATTTCCCTTACGTAACAGAAATTCATTAGTGAAAGAAGATCAAATGTAGAGTAATTCATTATATAATAGCTCATTTACACCGTGTCAGGGATAGTTGTATTGCTTTGTAAGTACCAAAGCAACAACCCTAAGAGGTAGCCACTATTATTTCTGTTTCATAGGTAAGGAAATCAAGGCGTAGGAAAATTTAACAAATGAACTAGGGTTGCAAAATTATTGAGGTAGAACTGAGCTCAAACACAAGCAGTCTGGTCTCTAAGTCTAAAGGCAGGACCTCTGATCAATGCCTCTGCAATGAACAGTGGCTGTAAGTACTGCTATTTCCTCTTATTTCATGTTGTGAGTTCTTCTAGCACATAATTTTGTAAAGAATCTGGTAATTTCAAATGAAGAAAAAATAAATGGTTACAGAATTAACACTGTGGCTGGGCACAGTGGCTCATGTCTGTAACTTTGGGAGGCCAAGGCAGGTGGATTACCTGAGGTTAGGAGTTTGAGACCAGCCTGGCCAACATGGCAGAAACTCTGTCTCTATTAAAAATACAAAAATTCACCAGGCGTGGTGGCGGGCACCTTTAATCCCAGCTACTTGGGAGGCTGAGACAGGAGAATTGCTTGAATCTGAAGGCAGGGGTTGCAGTGAGCCAAGATTCTGTCACTGCACTCCAGCCTGGGCAACAGAGTGAGACTCCACCTCATAAAAAAGAATTGCATCTCCAAGATGACAGAGGCTATGTCTTTGGGCTGGGTCTTAGGTCAGTATCTGCCATCATAAACATTTTCACACATATTTGGTGGGAAGGTAGGAGGAAAAGAGAGGAAGAAAGAAAAATAAAGGCTGTTAAAAATAGGCTACAGTATTAGAATGACCACATCTCCAGTAAAAATCAAATGAGGCTATAATAAATGACCTCATCTGTCTGGTCTTCAGTTAACTTTATCTCCACAGTGCAGTCAATAACAATAATTACCCCATAGGGTTGATGTGAGAATTCCACATTTAATACATATGAAGTTCTTAGGAGAGTTCCTGACTCATAATAAGCACTTAATTAATACTGAGATATTATATCATTATCACACTTTTTATATGAGGCAGGTTGAGGCAAATTATACTGTCAGATTCATGACACCATATAAACTATGTTTTTGCCCTTGACATGTGTTGCTTTTAAAAGTTTGGCTTCACTCTAAAATATGCTTGTATTATTGCATCTTCTGGAGTTGGCTATTTTCTTATTTTTATAAGAGTATGACACATTACTTTCATAGGAAAATAGGATTAATTGAAAATGTGACTTTAGGGAAAATGAAGCAAAAGGAAGCTTTGAATATTCCTTCAAATCCTTCCCTCCCTCTTTTATTCGTCTTTCTATCCCTCCATCCCATTCTTTCTTGTTGTTTTTTTCTTCTCCCTTTCTCCATCCATCCATCCACCCACCCATCGAGGGTCTGATTCTATTTCTGGGGTTTGTCTTTGGGCTGGGTCTGAGGTCAGTAAACAGTCCTTTATACACAGCATGCCAAATTTTAGCCTCACGAATTCCAGCCTCACTTCTTTTTTTTAGTTTTGAGACAGGGTCTTGCTGTCACCCAGGCTGGAGGGAGGGCTGTGGTGTGATCTTGACTCACTGCAGCTTCAAACTCCTGGGCTCAAGTGATCCTCCTGCTTTTGCCTCCCAAGTAACTGGGACTACAGGCATGTGCCACCATGCCTGGTAATTTTTTTATAGAGGCAGAATCTCACTGTGTTGCCCAGGCTGGTCTTGAACTCCTGGGCTCAAGTATTTCTCCTGCCTCAGCCTCCCAAAGTGATGGGATTATAGATGTGTGCCACTGTAGTAGTCTTACTTCTTTTGTGTGTGTAGGACGGGGGAGGAATGGTCAAGGTATTTGTGAGTTGACCTCAAGCTGCTACTTCCCAAATGAGCCAGAGGACCAAAACCTGTTAAGGAGGCAGCCCTCCCCAGGAAGGAAGAAGAGAACAAGGGTCATGTTTTACTTAATAAGAGTCCTTGTCAGAAATAAAATTATTTTTGATTTGCAGAGTATAGGTTGCCAGTCTTTGGAATATAACATCATAACCAGATTTGCAACTTATGTGTGGCAAACCTTGCTCCCTTTATTTAGACATAAATATTTACTCTCACAATTATTACTTAGTCATACTTCCAATAATAATTTACTTATATTATCTCCTTTTAAAAATGTTATTTTACATTTCTTTTGTAGATGTTAAGATACCATGGCCATATCTAATAATGCAATTTGTACAGACTCTATTACTAGCCAAATAACCATTTAATAACATTTTTTGATGATTATTTTAATAAAATAAACAGCCTTCGTATATTCTCAATACTAACCAGAAGACAAAATAAATATTTAAGAGATCTGTGAGTATCACATGACTTGATATGTTGAAATAGAGCAAGTCATTTGAGGAAAAATGTAGCATACTCAATTCCAAAATATTATAGGAGTTTCTTTGTGTCACATGTCAATGACTATTTCAAAGTGCTTTAGAGTGATCATCTGAATGGAGTGCCCAAAATTACACATATAGTTTCTGAGAATGCATTTTCCTACTCTCATATTATTTAACTTTTTATTTTTTATTTTTGCTACTGCAATGATTCCACAATTCCCTACACAGAATGAGCATCTCTATTCCAGCTTCTTTCTATGGGCTTTAGGTGAGCATATATCAGCAGGTATTATGATGGCTTAATTAGAGGCTGCTAAATCTGAAGGGGCAGGAAGCACTCCATTGATATGCTTTGATTTTAAATTCTTTCACTACTTGGTTTGCAGTTTAATATCATGCTTGATTGAATGGTACAGATTTTGCATATTTATGGAGATCTGCCAACAGAATTTAGAGTATCCTGGGTATATACTGAAAGGGATAGAAATCATTCTACCACAAAAACACATTATGTCCATTGCAGCACTATTCACAATAGCAAAGACATGGAATCAACCTAAATGCTCATCAACAGTAGACTGGATCAAGAAAATGTGGTACATA